GGACTCGATCCAGGGACTCCAGGATCATGACCTGAGCTGAAGGCAGTCGCTTAACCAACTGAGCCACCCAGGCGCCCGGCACTGAAATTTCTATCTCTGTGATCAGAAGTCCCCATTTTGTCCTCTCCCTACTGACAACTACTGGGCTTTACCCTGCCAGGAGTTTTGTGTGTTCAGTTACATGTACGTATAAGGACACACACACGGTTTACAGTCTTAGAAAGAAAAAGAGCAAGCCCTGTGTTCAGTGACTCACCAAGTACATGATTCTCCATGTTGAGCTGCCTTACTCCTCTGAGTGTCGGGTCTTGTTTCTCGCTGTATACGCACCCGCCCCCGATTCCCTTCCTCTGCTCCACCTGTTCTTTTTCTTGAGCCCTCGCTCTATAACCCCTGATGCCCATGTCTACCTTGTGTCCCACTTCTAGGATGTGAGCACCAGGGATCTTTGTTCCCTGATCTCAGATGTCTAGAACCGCTGTCAGCAGGTAGTCGGTGCTCAGTAAACTCGGACCTGTGGATGAGTGGCTCCAGGACACGTCTGTGGAGCCCGTTGCTTCTAGCCTCTACTGGACACGGGTTATGTGTTTTTGTTCTAATGACAGTGCCGTACGTCTCGGTTTCTGATCTTTAAACGCTTGTTCCTTTATGAGTTTTCTCTTGTTTTTGCTTCTCGTCCTTAGCGTGAGTCTCTTACAGAAGGGCCCTCATTGAGTCCAGTAGGGCGTCTCGGGAGCTGAGCGGGTACCCTCTGTGGGCACCTGCCCTGGAAGACGCGTGCTGGCTGTGATGAAGTGCTTCTGTTACCCCTCGTTCTGCCGTCTGGGCCACGGGGGACAGGCCTGCTTGCTCCCTCCTTCGCACGACAGTCCCTGAGCTGCTTGAAACGCGGCTGCAGCTCGCTGGGATAACTGAGGTCTTCAGGCTGTACGTGCCTGTACTCAGTTCGCTTTGTAACTCTGAACCTGTGTGAATATTCAGATGTTTGTCCACTGTGTTTTGTAGGAAGCATCGTGAAGAGTGAAGACTATGCTCTCCCGAGTTACGTCGACCGGCGTGACTATCCCCTGCCCGATGTGGCCCACGTCAAGAACCTCTCTGCTAGCCAGAAGGCCTTGAAAGAGAAGGAGAAGGCTCCCTGGAGCAGTCTCTCCATTGATGAAAAAGTTGAATGTGGGTATTGAAGCAGGAATATTGGCAAAGCGTGTGAGGGAGAATTTTGACTGGTTTCTGGGCTGCGAGATGGAGGGTGCTGCCCCAAGACCAGCGTGCTTGGGAGGCCCAGTGTGCTGTGTCCTGCGGGGTTGATCCAGGGCCCTGGCTTTTTGGGCTGGCTGCGCCTCTGCCCAGGCCTCTCTGTCTGTGCTCAGGGGGCTTTGGTCCCCAGGGGGGAGCATGGACGTGGACACAGAGCAGCGAGGTGTAGGGGTCAGTCGGCTGTGGAGTGTATGGATGCAGCTTCTTGGCACCTCTGCTGAGTAGGACTGGGTTCACTGTAACTTACTGATGGAACATCAGCACAGCAAAATGCTGTCAGTTGGGAAAGGGGAGTGAAAGTTACGGGATTTTGCAGATCATACGCTGTAACCGAAAGAAGAAAGAAGTCACTGTTTTTTTTTGTCCAAAGTAGACTCCGTGCGTTTTCTTCCCTTCATCATGCCTTGTACGTGTGTGAGCACATGCATGCACACTTTGTCTCTTGGCTATGTTGGAGAAATAGGAGAGCCCTGCAAGGAGGGGCACAGCCGCCCTCATTCCCACAAATGCCTGTGCTCTCTTCCCAGTATACCGCATGAAGTTCAACGAGAGCTTTGCTGAAATGAACAGGAGCACGAATGAATGGAAGACGGTTGTGGGCACCGCCATGTTCTTCCTCGGCTTCACTGCTCTCATTCTGATTTGGGAGAAGCACTATGGTGAGTGGGGAGGGGCTGTAGGCCTGCCGTCTCGGGTTGCAACCACACAAGACCTGGATTGGGGCCAGCGCCAGTGCGTGGCCTGTGGGCGCCTGTGCCCACGACGGGCACCTCCATTCTAGGATCTATTCCAGGATTGTTCGCTGGCTTTGAGAAACCAGCTCATGTTAATGGAAGTGTAAGCCAGACTCTGACTTACTCACGGCAGGCTGTGCTCTATAGCAAATGACTTCCCTTCCCTACTTTGTATGGCACACCACCTTTCCATGGTGCTTTATTGGCTCGCCACACAATTATCAAAAGGTGGCGTAGTGAAGGTTTGATCAAGGAAAAGGGCACGGATTCTCATCGAAGGGCTATTTCAATTGTATGGGGACTGCATCTCGGTAAGCAGAGTCCTAGGTCTTCAGACCTCACAGTTCTGCTTAGATAGCGTCGGGGTTGTCCGCTCTTTCCGTGCTGCCTCTTTTCGGTTCTTTGTGTCCAGGTAGAATGGGTTTTTCCCATTCCAAACAGCGATAATCCTGTACTTCTGGTCTGCTGTGGACATGGGTTACTCATGCCTGTGTATTTGATCTCACTAGTCCAGTCACTTTTGGCTCTGTTTGTGCCCTATGCTAGCCTGTAGACCCCATTATCTGCATCCTACGGAGGAGACTTTCTGCTCTTAGCTTGTATTTTACTCCTAATCTTTTATCCACAAAGGAATAATATTGAGAGTTATCAGTGCCCAGAATTCAAAGCCTGTGTGTGTGTGTGTGTGTGTGTGTGTGTGGGTGGGTGGGTGCTGGTGTGGAGTGGCAGGCGGCTTCACTGGCCTGGCGGCCAGTGTGTTGTGTTGGGGAAGACCTGACCTGAATGACCCGTGGACTTAGAAACGACTCGTCAAGACAGTGTTGTCTCATGAAATTGTTCTGGGCTTTAGTGTACGGCCCCGTCCCGCACACCTTTGAAGAGGATTGGGTGGCCAAGCAGACCAAGAGGATGCTCGACATGAAGGCCAGCCCGATTCAGGGCTTCTCAGCCAAGTGGGACTACGACAAGAACGAGTGGAAGAAATAGAGGAGCGCACCACTCACCCATCTGAGCCTCACCTTGCTCTGCCAGATCCACACAGCTCAGCATCTTCACTGGAAACCGTTACGTTGCGTCACCAGTGCTAATAAACGAGCAGCCTACGTGAACTCCATTGTGGTCGGTTCTTTGATAACTAAATGAAAATACCTGTTTTTTGAAACATAGTTTCTCTCAAGTGTCTGACGTCAGTATATTTTGGGTATACATGAAATGGCAAGAATAAATTGTTTTAAGGGGATACCATATAAAAGCCAAAAATGTAGGGTCCTGTGATGTGAGATATTTGGTTTTTGATGAGATTTTTAGGAGCATAAAATCCCATTACGGAAGCTGGAACAACAGAAGTCCCCATGGCTACTTTTCTTCTGGGACCTGCCCTCCCCTCTTTGAAGTTGTCAGTGTTGTTTGGAGTGGGTGGCCGTAAGCCTGGGAAGGGCAGGCTGAGCTCTGAGCTCCTGGACTGAGGTCTTGAGTGATGGACTTGGTTCCCTGGCCACTCTGAGCCTTTTAGTCTAGAAAGAACGATGGAGCCAGTGCCAGGGAAGGAGCGTCATGCTGGCCCCAGCAGGCTCCCTGGGGGCTCGCATCCCACTGTCCTCTCCCACCTGCTCTGCGCGCTAGGTCTCCTCACTGATCCCTGGAGACCCTGCCTGGAGCAGCAAATGAATCCTCGAACAGCCTGTGTGATGAGCTGCACAGAGGGCAGGCAGAGGGGTCTCCCAGCGGCCTTGGTGCCGGAGTGTGCCGAGGGTGGGAGGTGGCCTTTGAGCAGTCCAGCTGTAACTGGGAGGGGAAGTGGGCCTCTAGAGCTTCACTAGAGGTCAAGGGCTGTCACAGGAAGAGGGCCTTTGGTAGTAAGAAGGCTTGAACGACCAGCCTAAAATTAACAGCAGGTTAAATAAAGCCGCTGGTGGTGGTGTCTTCCTGCTGACTTCCTGGGAGGCCCTCCCCACCTTAGGGGAAGGGGAGCTGGGTTGGGAGTCTGGCCAGTGTATGGGGCCAGCATGGCCTCTGGATGGCCTCACCTACAAAGCTCAGGCCTCCTGCTAGGTGGTGTCATTTTCATTTCCTTTTCCAGGATGGGCTCGTATGGGGCTGAGGTGTCTGACCTGGCTCAAGGTCACTGCTGGCCTATCACCTGGTTCTTGTGACCCTTAAATGACCACTGATGGAGCACCTACCTAGGCCAAGGCACTTGAAGGCCACTGTCCCTCTTCAGAACAACCCTGAGAAGAAGGGCCCCTTACCCTGGGTTAGGTGATGGAGCTGAATGGGGCTAGAGGTGGGGGGTTCTGCCCGAGGAAACACAATGTTTGAGACCATGTTTGAAGGTCCCCTCTGACCCCCAAACTCTTCTATCCCGGTATATCCCCAAACCAGGGACTCTCCCTGAGCTCAGGGACGTTCCATGGGGTAACCAGGCTTTCCCTGGCCTTCCCTTACCATGTAGGAACTTGCTGTCTTGGACTTGTTAAGAGGATTACCACTTGTACATCAGTGTCAGGTCCCAAAATGTGACTGTGGAGTCCTGTTGTCTGTGTCCTTGTTCCTTCCTTGGATGGAGTTCAGGAGGGAGCCGGGTTCATGCTAGATTCAGCCCGGGATCCTTAGGCCAGAGGTCTCCTTGACCATGGCTCGATCATCTACATGTTGTGGGGGGTAACGGTGGATGTGACCCTCGGAGCCCTTACCCTTACGGGGCTCGCAGAAACACCGAGGACAAGTAAAACAATGGGCAGAATGGGAAGATTTGATAGTGCTCCTCAGGGCTGATGGAGAGGGGGCCGGGGTGGGGGTACGAACAAGTTGGGGTTGGTTGGGGGAGAGCACACGGAGGACGTCATGTGAGCTGAGACTAGAAGAAAGCCAAAACGAGTGGAGGTGCAGGTGGCAGGTGGAAAAAGTTCCAGACTCGAGGGCCTGCAGTTGAAGGCCCAGGGGAGGACAGAGCGGAAGGCCCATCGGTGGGCCAAAGCACCCTGGGGGAGAGGAAGGGGGCTGGGGCAGGGCTCTGGGAAACACCTGGGAGGACATTGGAACAGCCCCCAACTTGGCTTCTTGGAGGCCAGAGGCGTCCCTGTGCCTCTAGGAGTGGGGCTCCCAACAGGCCTAGCACTTGGTCTCCACGTGGGACCATCTGCTGCTCCTCACCTAACGCTGGGAGAGCTCGTTGCCATTGAAAACGCACCTCGTCCCTTTTGATTGATTTTTGCCTCTGACTCAACGCTCACCTTGTTACTAGTGGCAGCTTTTTACCCTGCTCAGTTTAAAACTCATTCCCTGCAAAGGGACAGCCAGCAGCTGACTTTGGTCAAACACAACCCTGGAAGCCAGAAGGCAGTGAAACGATAGATCCCTCTAGAATGACATCATCAGCTAAACTATTGCAAAGAGCAGGGAAAAGGATCTTCACAGGCGAAGATCACGAGTGTTATCACTGACAGGTCTTTGTTGAGAGAAGTGTTGAAGGGTGTAGTCCCAGAAGAAGGAAACTGAACTCCGAAGGAAGGAGTGAGCTGTAAGGTGGAGGGGTGAAGGACCTGGAAACCGTGAAGGCAATGCCTTGTCTGCCCAAACGCTGGCTGAATGGGACGGTGACCGCGATGACGACCAATTCTGGGGACAAGTGGTTGAAAGCAAGGGGAAGGGGTTCTAGGAAGATGAAGCCTGTGGCGACATACTTTTGAAGTATTTCTGTGAATCCCCACATGAAAACAGTAAAGAGAGAGCAAACCCAAAAGCCATACTGACAATATCAAAAAATGAGGCGAAGAGGTATTTCTATGGAGCACCCTTTCCCAGTGATGGCAAGTGGAAGACGGAAGTTATGAATATTAACTGTGGCTCCACGAGCAGTCTGCCTCCTGTCTGCTTCCTGTGTCCTAGCTGCTTTCTGTCTGCTCCTGTCACCTGTTTGTTTGTTTCCTGTTTCCTGCCTGCTTCCTGTTTGTTTCCTGTTTCCTGCCTGCTTCCTGTTTTTTTCCTGTGTCCTGTCTGTTTTCTGTGTCCTGTCTGCTTCTGGTTAGCTTGCGGTTGGCTTCTTTGTACTTCCTGTGTGTCACCCCAGCATGCTTCTTCAAACCCAGCCGTGGTGGTTCCTTCTGTCCCAGCAGCTGAGTCTGGTTCTGAGTCGTCCCCATGCCTGCAGGATCAGCCCAACAGTTCCTCCAGAAGCCCTGGTCCCGGTGGACAGCGGCATGCCGCAAGGCCTGGGATGTCGAGGGGTTTCTGTGTGCCCTCCCATCAGCTCAGAGGCATCCTGGGTCCCGCAGGCTGTCACAGTGCTCTCCAAAAGGGAGTGTCACTATGGGGAGGCATAGTCAATTTTTTATTTTTTCCCAAAAGAGCAATTGAGTAAGTTGAACGTGTATTTTTAATGTATCTTTGATGTTGTGTATTTGAAGGGAAAAAGATGTTATTCAGTTAGGAGGAAATACATAGCACTTTTTTGATAGCAACTCTTAGAAACCCTTTTGAATTTCTGTGAAGTCTTCTGGATGCTTTGAAATGCTTCAGAAGTTGATGCCAACATTACTGTGTCTGACTCCCCTTTGGAGCTTTGGGTCTTCCCTAGGTGGGATGACTTCCCAGTATACCCAGTACTTCCTGCAGCCTTCAGACCTGTCAGATGCTGGCTCACTCCACAAATGGCCTAAGCCTTGGACCCCACAAAGGCTGGTGAGGGGTTGAGTGTGCCGCTCGCTACCTGCTTGGTCCTGGCCCTGGCTTACCGTTCTTAGGCATCATTTCCTCATGACAGCTGGAGTTACTGACTCTATTTTACAAATTAAGGGATGGGGGCCCAGAGAGATTCAGTGACTTGGCCAAGGTCACACAGCCAGTAAAGGCAGTGCTAGGATTCAAACCCCAGGGGGTCTGTGCCAGAGTCCAATCAACGCCTGCTGTGTTGCTGTCTTTGCTTGAGTGCCTTATACAACTCCTGGCACACAGTAGGTGCTCAGTAAATGTTTACTGAATAGACATGTCCAAGCCCAAGGATGAGTCAACCTCCAAGGATCTTTTCAAATGATTTCCTCATGTTCCCGTAGCAGCCACCACTGCCCTCCCCCAAACCAAACCAAAAGTCAACACTCACATCAGCCACGGTCAGTGCCCACTGTTCTCCAGCTGACCAACGACGTCACAGCCGCTGAGCCATCTCTTCCCAGATCCGCCCTGCAGGCAGCAACTCATCTTGGGACGGATATCAGGAATCCCATTCCCTCCATGCACATGGCCGTATGGGGCCACTGCCGGCTTTCATCTGGTGCACCGGTGGGGCACGCCTCGCAGGTGAAGGCGGAAAGCAGCACGATCATCCTTGGGGGGTTACAGGCCCCTGCAAGAATCCGATGGACGCCCCAGCTGCTACTCTCGAAATGCACGCATTGAGGTCCAGGCCCAGTCATTGCTAGTCTGAGGCAGGTGTGAGGACGAGGGTGACCAACTTGTCCTGGTTTGCCCGGGACCTTCGCAGTTTTAGCTCAAAAGCTCTGCGTCCCTTGGGCTGTCAGTTGCATTATGTGGTAGGACACATGCGGTGTCCTGACAAAGCCCCATCAGAAGCACAGGAAAAGTCCTTGCAGGCGACCTACACATCCTGGAGCCCCTCGGTCCCAGGATGACCCGGAGGGTTGGCTGGCTGCGGAGCCATGTTGACAGTAGGCATCCCTCCCAAGGATGCTGAACTTTATGAGGAAATTCACAGTGTCCCTCAGCCTGGGCTGCAAGGTAGGGTCACCTGGTAACCATTTGAAGGCACTGAGGCGTGGGCCTCGCCGTAGGTGTCTCTGTAGGGTTTAAATCTGCTCCAGGTGACTCAAGTGCAGGTTTAAACCACTGCATTCATTCCCAGGTGGCCTGGGAAACGGTTGGACCCACAGGTGCTCTCGAGGCACCACCTCACCCAAACGAGCCTCTTAACCAAGGGGGGAGCCCACCTGCTGAAATGGGAGGGTGGTCTTCAATGCAAGGTTCCCGCATTGATACAGGGTCTCCCCCATCGACACACCTTCAGAGGTGGCTCAGAGCTGGCTGTCATACCCCATGTGGACAACAGGTGGCACCCAGGCTCCGTGCTTTTCCCAGAGCCCCCGGAGGCTGGCTC